GAGGTTTCTCCATGTTGGTTAAGCTGGTCTCATACTCCCGATCTCAGGTGATCTGCTTGTCCTGGCCTCCGAAAAGTGGTGGGATTACAGGTGTGAGCCACTGCACTGGCCTGGCCAGTCATCTTCTTAAAACACAAGGATACAGAAGACAATGGAGTAGTATCTTAACATTATCAATGGAAAAATAACCTTTGATACACAATTTCAAACCCAGCTATCCTTGAGGAGCAAGCATTAAGAATTCATTTAGGGGGCCGGGCGCGGTGGCTCACGCCTGTAATCCCAGCACTTTGGGAGGCTGAGGCGGGTGGATCACGAGGTCAAGGATCAAGACCATCCTGGTCAACACGGTGAAACCCCGTCTCTACTAAAAAATACAAAAAATTAGCTGTAATCCCAGCTAGTCAGGAGGCTGAGGCAGGAGAATTGCCTGAACCCAGGAGGCAGAGGTTGCGGTGAGCCGAGATCGCGCCATTGCACTCCAGCCTGGGTAACAAGAGCGAAACTCCGTTTCCAAAAAAAAAAAAGAATTCATTTAGGCCAGGCACCATGGCTCATGCCTGTAATCCCTGCACTTTGGGAGGTCAACGTGGGTGGGTCACAAGGTCAGGAGTCCAAGACCAGCCTGGCCAACATGGTGAAACCCTGTCTCTACTAAAAATACAAAAATTAGCTGGGCATATACCAGTAATTCCAGCTACTCAGGAGCCCTGAGGCAGGAGAATTGCTTGAACCGGGACCCGGGAGGTGGAGATTGCAGTGAGCCGAGATTGCGCCACCGCATTCCAGCCTGGGCTACAACTGACTTCCCACATATCTACTCACACTATTTAAAGCACCTTCAGCAATAGTTTTTTACTAATTTAACCTGGATGCACGACATAGTACTACTTAGTAATTGACAAGTTGTTCGTGTCACTTTTTAGTTATTTTAAGAGACAGGGTTTTGCTTTCTTGCCCTGGCTGGAATGCAGGGCACAGTCACGATTCATTGCAGCTTCATGCATGGGGGCTGAAGAGATCCTCCGCCTCAGCCTCCCGAGTAGCTGGGACTACAAGCAAGAGTTACCATGCCCCAATACTTTTTTTTTTCGAGTTGGAGTCTTGCTCTGTCACCAGATTGGAGTGCAGTGGTTCGATCTCTGCTCACTGCAACCTCTGCCTACCAGGTTCAAGCAATTCTCCTGCCTCAGTTTCCCAAGTAGCTGGGACTACAGGCACCTGCCACCACACCCAGCTAATTTTTGTATTTTCAGTAGAGACAGGGTTTCAGCATGTTGGCCAGGATCATCTTGATATCTTGACCTCGTGATCCGCCTACCTCAGCCTCCCAAAGTGCTGGGATTACAGGCGTGAGCCACCGCGCCTGGCTTTTTCTTTTTTCTTTTTTTGAGACTGAGTCTCGATTTGTCGCCCAGGCTAGAGTGCAGTGGTGCGATATCGGTTCACTGTAACCTCTGCCTCCTGGGTTCAAGCAATTTTCGTGCCTTGGTCTCCTGAGTAGCTGGGATTAGGCGCCTGCCACCATGCCCGGCTAATTTTTGTATTTTTAGTAGAGATGGGGTTTTACCATGTTGGCAGGGTGGTTTTGAACTCCTAAGCTCAGTAGATCCACCTGCCTTGGCCTCCCAAAGTGTTGGGATTACAGGCGTGAGCCACCTCACCCAGCCTACTTTTAAAAACTATTTTGGCCGGGCGCGGTGGCTCAAGCCTGTAATCCCAGCACTTTGGGAGGCCGAGGCGGGTGGATCATGAGGTCAAGAGATCGAGACCATCATGGTCAAAACGGTGAAACCCCGTCTCTACTAAAAATACAAAAAATCAGCTGGGCATGGTGGCGCGTGCCTGTAATCCCAGCTACTTAGGAGGCTGAGGCAGAATTGCCTGAACCCAGGAGGCGGAGGTTGCGGTGAGCCGAGATCGCGCCATTGCACTCCAGCCTGGGTAAGAAGAGCGAAACTCCGACTCAAAAAAAAAAAAAATAAAAAACATAAAAAAATAAATAAATAAATAAAAATAAAAACTATTTTGTAGAGACAAGGTCTCGCCATCTGGCCCAGACTGGTCTTAAACTCCAGGCTTCAAGTGATCCTCATACCTGGGCTTCCCAAACTGCTGGGATTACAAGTGTGAGCCACTGTACCAGGCTCATATAACTTTAAATAACTAGTAACTATATATAAGCTCTTTCAATTAACTTTATTGAATATCCAAGTGGATAAGTTAGCACAGATCAAACGATTGTTTGCATGGGTTACAAATGACTTTGTTTTTTTATACAGGAATAAGACAGTGAAAATTACAAACTGTAAAAAGGAAGACAAATCTTGTTTCCAACATTTCAGAGAAGCAAGATTTAACACAGCACATTGAAGATCAATACATACTTGAATCTGAGAACAAGAATTTAATATTACAATATTATACACTACTTTACAAAATTAAAATTTCTATATAAGGATTACATTTATAATAGTTAACAAAACCTTGAAATCACATTTGGTGGTCCCCTAGATAATAGCTGTTATGCATCTTTGATTAGAAGAAATAAATCTTTATTCTAATTATTGCAAAACAGTCTATTAGACTCAATACATTACATTAAATTAAAAACAGTGAAAATATATGTAAACTAAAATAAATGGTAACTGCTTGAGTGACTATTAGTATGTCAGACTTACAGAAACGTTATTTTAAAAATCCTAGAAATTAGAAAAATAGAGTACTTTTTATGGTAGAACTGCCATGCTCAGATTTAAATACCAAGATTGCCCTTGTCTATTACATTAGTAGTTGTAGATCTGTAGAAAATTCAAGGATATTTCATAATTTACAACTATGATAAAAAAAATATGGCATAGTGTAAATATTAGTTGCTTTACATCAAAAAGTAATACAAGATGATATGGCAGGTAGTGCCCTATTGGAAAAAAAAAAAAAGAATCAAACTAAAAACACATTCAACATTGCAAAAAATAATTGCTTTGTATCAATATCTCCAAAGGCTCATTCATTCTCGCTTTATGTGGAGAACAAATATTGTGAATCCTAACTAAAGTTATGTTTTTCATGACCTGTTATAAAAATTATTCTGGATTGCACATGTTACACAGTATCTAAAATAATTTTTAAAAGTAAATTTGTGAAATATACTAATAAAGCATGTGGTAGTAACAAGAGTCATACCCACTTAGGGATGTAGTGAGGCACAAGGAAGATTATCCCTAGAAGCACAAATGTTTCCCTCTGGAAGATTCTTTACTACTTTTAAGAAAGGACCTACAAATAACTCCACTTAAAATCACATTAAGAGGAACATTTTAGTTATTTTAAGAAACATCTGTACATAATGACTATTTATTTTTTTTTATCTTTGAGACAGTTTTTGCTCTTGTTGCCCAGTTTGTAGTGCAATGGCGTGATCTTGGCTCACTGCAACCTCTGTCTCCTAGGTTCAAGCAATTCTCCTGCCTCAGCCTCCGAGTAGCTGGGATTACAGGCACCTGCCACCATGCCCAGCTAACTTTGTATTTTTAGTAGAGATGGGGTTTCTCCATGTTGGTCAGGCTGGTCCTGAATTCCCGACATCAGGTGATCCACCCGCCTCAGCCTCCCAAAGTGCTGGGATTACAGGCATGGGCCACCACATCCAGATCATAACGACTGTTTCTTTAAAAGAGGGGATAATATAATTTGCTTCAATTTGAAAATTGCTTCCTATAAGATGAAGCGACTTTCAAGAAAACTTCCAGTTCAATGTGCCACCTGCACACTGCAAACCAACCTTAACACTGCTTAAGGGAGATATTTTCATAAAACATGATTATTTTGATCCAGCTGGCAAGCAGTAGTTGTATACTGTAGAGGGACTGCTTCTTCCCTCTCCGAAACAACTCTGTTAAAGTCAGCTCATATTGATATAAACCTGAAAGTTACTATTTCATTGGTGATCATGTAAGACCAAGATTGTAAACACATTTTCTAACCCATTATAACAAAACAAAAAAACCCAAAATATTTTGATCAAGTATTATACATGAACATATTTTAAGAAATTCATAAGACAAAATGTATTATGAAAACTGAGCCACTCATAAAGATATGTCACAGCACTTTAAATATACAAATGTATAATTTACCTATTTGTAAACAAAATTCACTCAATAGTTTTGACTATAATATTTCCCTAGCTGAATCAAGAAAGCATTCTCTTAAGGATTTTCAGAAATCAAGTTTCTTTTATAACTTCAATATGTTGGATGTGTGTAATCTTAATATCCATCAAATCAATCAGCAGCATTTATGCCTTAATAAGATTTTCATATTAAAGAATAAATACTTCTTATGAGTGACTTCCAATTTAACAATTAAACTCCTTAGAAAAATTTTACTGACGTTTTTGGATAGCACTTTAAAACCTTTCATTTCTTTCATTCACCCTCATTTCACCAAAAAAACCCCACTTTTACTACATACCCAGAGCAGAAATGTACCAAACAAAATCCACTTTTGGATCAAGATAAATTAAAGTTTCTTATCTCCCTATTATTATTGCCAGTCCCAATGTTTATGAAGCAGCTCAAATTCTTTTCACTACAGATTAAGACAGTATGTCCAAGTGTTGGGCAGGAAATCAGAAAACCACCTAATGATAGTTCTCACTTCAAATCAAAGAGACTTTGTTCTTCAAGTATAAAGAATACTGACAGATTTTAAAGCTTGAACGTGTTACTTCATATTTTTCTCAAGCTATACTATAATTAGTTAACTCTAGTTTTAGGCAACATAATGATCCTTTCCCTTCCTTAAAAAAGAAAAAAAAAAAAAAAAAGGACAGGTGTGGGGATTGAATCCTAGTCTTCCTACATTATATTTACTTCCAATTGTTTTTATTTTAAAAACATTACTATCAATGAATCTGTAACTTCCCTGCAACACTTAGTCTTGTGAGGTTTTAAATGTAGCAGCCAAAAATTCAGAAAAATAAAAAATGAGAAATATACATGTAGAACACAGAAATCTTTATTTTACAAAATGTACTTTGCCTCTGCAATATTGTCTTGTCTTATTTTAATCCATAACAACTCAAACATAATTGGCAAGAAAAAAGTATCCAATCATATGTAGCTAGATTCTGATTTGAAAAATACAATATTTCAAAGTTGCATGTTTGCTTCTCTGCTGTGGTCTTTTATTTGCTATAGGTTGTTGAAATCACAGTGAGAACATCTCAATCAACACATTAGTCCACAAACGATAGAAAAAGAAGGTATTACACATTTCCAGGTATTCTGCACTATTGTGACATTCCTTAGAAATAATTAAGTCAAACTTCGTCATTTGTTCATTTATTCACTTGTTGCTGTATATGCAACAGGAATTCATAATATGATAATGCAGATTCTGTTCTGTCTTCTATCATGTTTTGAAGGAAGTTTGCTTTCATTGGACTCTCATCCCTTAGGAATAAAAGGCAAAAATTTTTAGATAAAATGTAACAGTAAAATAAACAGACTTGTCAGAAAGCTTTTTTTTGTTTTTTTTGAGACAGAGTCTCGAACTGTCCCCCAGGCTATAGTGCAGTGGTGAGATCTCTGCTCACTGCAATCTCCACATCCTGGGTTTTAGCAATTCTCCTGCCTCAGCCTCCTGAGTAGCTGGGGTTACAGGTGTACGTCACCACGCCCAGCTAATTTTTTTTGTATTTTTAGTAGAGATGGGGTTTCACCATGTTGTCCATGATGGGCTCCATCTCCTGACCTCGTGATCCACTTGCCTCCCAAAGTGCTGGGATTACAGGCGTGAGCCACCGTACCTGGCCCGTCAGAAGACTTCTGATTTCCTCATAACCATCATAACATTTACTATATAAACAGTTATTTCTAGAGGCTTTCTCTGAAAATACTTGGTTAGGTGAACTTCAAGTTGTTTAAGGGAAAAGCTTATGGTGGAATTAAGATAGGCAGTTGATCCAGAAATTCCACTTCTGAGTACATATACAAAGGAATTAAAATCAGTTTATCAAAGAGATGCCTGCACTTCCATGATCATTGCAGCATTATTCACAACACCCAAGATAAAGAAATAACTAAATGAATGGATTTTTCAAATGGGGTATATATATACAATGGAATTCCATTCAGCCTTTAAAAAACAGGAAATTTTGTCATTTGTGACATGGATGGAGCTAAAGGACATTACGCTAACTGAAATAAACCAGGCACAGAGAGACAAATACCACAAGAACTAGCTTATGTGTGGAATCTAAAAAAGTTGAACCCATGTAAGTAGAAAGTAGAATTATGGTTATCAGAGGCTAGGGGGCAGAAGGTGGGTGTGGAGAAGGAAAGAAGAGATGTTAGTCAAAGGGTACAAAATTTTGTTAGGAGGAATAGATTCTGGTTACCTATTACACAGTATGATGGCTATGGTTAATGATAATGTATTGCATATTTTAAAATAGGCAAAATAATGAGTTTTAAATGTTCTCACTACAAAGAAACAATAATTGGCTGAGGAGATATATATGTTAATTAGCCTAATTTGACCAGTCCATAATGTATACAAGGATCAAGATATTGCGGTGGCTCATGCCTGTAATCCCAGAACTTTGGGAGGCCGAGGCGGGTGGATCACAAGGTCAGGAGTTCGAGACCAGCCTGACCAACATGGTGAAACCCCGTCTCTACTAAAAATACAAAAAATTAGCCGGGTGTGGTGGTGCGTGCCTGCACTCCCAGACTTAGGAGGCTGAGGGAGGAGAATCGCTTGAACCCGGGAAGCGGAGGTTGCTGTGAGCCGAGATCTCGCCACTGCACTCCAGCCTGGGTGACAGAGTGAGACTCTATCTCAAAACAAAAACAAAAAAGAAATCAGTGTACCCCATAAATATATACACCTATTATTAGTCAATTAAAAATGAAAAAAGTGGGCCAGGCGTGGTGGCTCATGCCTGTAATCCCAGCACTTTGGGAGGCTGAGGTGGGTGGATTGCCTGAGCTCAGGAGTTCAAGACCAGCCTGGGCAACATGGTGGAACCTCGTCTCTACTAAAATACAAAAAATTGGCTGGGCATGGCAGCATTCACCTGTAGGCCCAGCTACTTGGTAGGCTGAGGCAGGAGAACTGCAAGAACCCGGGAGGCAGAGGTTGCAGTGAGCTAAGACTGTGCCACTGCACTGCAGCCTGGGCAACAGAGCAAGACTCCATCTCAAAAAAAAAAAAAAAAAAAGACAGTGGCTCACGCCTGTAATCCCAACACTTTGGGAGGCCGAGGTGGGTGGATCACGAGGTCAAGAGATCGAGACCATCCTGGCCAATATGGTGAAACTCTATCTCTACTAAAAATACAAAAAAATTAGCTGGGTGTGGTGGCATGTGGCTGTAGTGTCAGCTACTTGGGAGGCTGAGGCAGGAGAATTGCTTGAACCCGGGAGGCGGAGGTTGCAGTGAGCTGAGGTAGTGCCACTGCACTCCAGCCTGGCGCCTGGTGACGGAGTTAGACTCTGTCTCAAAAAAAAAGAAAAGAAAAGAAAAGAAAAAAGTATAGTATTTTCAATAATTGGATCTAAGGCATGCTTTACTGCTATTTATTGAGAAGAATTCTTTTTCTTCTTTTTTTTGCTATACTCTTGTAAAAGGTTGCTTAAACATTAGATCACATATATCCATTATTTGAAACAGGTTGTGGCAAGGCCAAACAAAGTGTTTTACTACTAGCAAATGGAAAATTCGACTTACCTTATTACATAAAGTATTGGGAAGAATGGTCTCTGCTCTCTAAGCCAAGAGATGAAAGTTATTATTCTGGCAGATTCTGGTGTATCAAGTTCTGGAAGGTCTGTCTGTTAATCAAAACCAACAATAATCAAATTAATTATATATCTAATATATGGTTCATGGTACTTCTCAAATTTTAATTTTTTTAATTACATTTTTTTTGTTTTCTTTTTTGAGACAAGGTCTCTGTCGCCAGGCTGGAGTGCAGTGGCACAATCATGGCTCACTGCAGTCTCAATCTCCTGATTCTGGTGATCCTCCCACCTCAGCCTCCTGTGTAGCTGGGACTATAGATGTGCACACCATGCCTGGCTATTGTAATTCTTATAGAGATAAGGTTTCACCTGTTGCCCAGGCTGGTTTCAAACTCCTAGACTCAGGCAATATACCTGCCTCAGCCTCCCAAAGTGCTGGGATTACAGATGTAAGCCATTGTGCCCAGCCTACTCAAATTTATCTTATTTTTTTGAGACAGGGTCTTCCTATGTTGCCCAGGCTGAAGTGCACTGGTGCAATCATGGCTCACTATAACCTCCACTGCCTTCCAAGGCTCAAGTGATTCTCTCACCTCAGCCCCCCAACCTCCAGTAGCTGGAATAAGAGGTGTGCCCCACCTGCCAGCTAATTTTTGTATTTTTAGTAGAGATAAGGATCTCACCAGGTTGCTCAGGCTGGTCTAAAATTCCTGGGCTCAAACAATCTGCCCACCTTGGTCTCCCAAAGTGCTGGGATAACAGGTGTGAGCCCCCATACTTGGCCTTAAATTTTAACATGTATAGCAATCACCTGATAATCTTGTTGAACTACAGATAAAGATATAGGAGGTCTGGGGCAAGGGTGTGGTCCTAAGATTTTGCTTTCCTAAAAAATTCCCACAGTCATGCCAATGCAACTTGACTTGGGACTACAATTTTCTTTTTTTTTTTTTTTGAGACAGAGTTTCTCTCTTGTTACCCAGGCTGGAGTGCAATGGTGCGATCTCGGCTCACTGCAACCTCGCAACCTCCGCCTCCCAAGTTCAAGCAATTCTCCTGCCTCAGCCTCCTGAGTAGCTGGGACTACAGATGTGCGCCACCATGCCCAGCTAATTTTTGTATTTTTTTTAGTAGAGACAGGGTTTCACCATGTTGACCAGGATGGTCTCGATCAATTGACCTCGTGATCCACCCACCTCGGCCTCCCAAAGTGCTGGGATTACAGGCGTGAGCCACCGCGCCCGGCGGGACTACAATTTTCTACAAATAATCCAGAACAGGAGTAGGCAAACTTCTTAAAGACCCACATGGTAAATACCTTAGGCTTGTAGGTCATTTGGTCTGTGCTGCAGCTACTCAATTTGCCATTGTTACACCAAAGTAGCCATAAACAATATATAAGTGAATGGGCATGGATGTTCCAATGAAACTTTATTTTTTTTTTGAGACAGAGTTTTGCTCTTGTTGCTCTGGTAGGAATGCAATGGCGTGATCTCGGTTCACTGCAACCTCCACCTCCCGAGTTCACGTGCAAGAGCCACCGCACCCGGCCCCAAAGAAACCAAATTTACAAAAACAAGTAGCAGGTACCCCTTGGGCATAGTTTGCTAAGCCCTAATCTAGAAAACCCTCTTAGTTCCTCTCTTCATTTTAGCATGACATCCAGAATTAATTGATTCATTCAGGTATTACTAAAAATATAACCATTTCTTATTTACTCATTACTTAAAACACTTAGTCATCCAGTCCAGTAGTTTGTTCCAGGCCTGAAATCCACTGCATATCCTAGCTATAATCCTGATATAGCTGTCTTTTATTTTTTATTTTTTGAGACAGGTTCTTGCTCTTTTGTCCAGGCTGGAGTGCAGCGGCGCAATCACTGCTCCTTCTGCCTCAACCTCCCTGGCCTTAGCAATCTTCCCACCTCAGCCTCCTGAGTCGCTAAGACCACAGTTGTGTGCCACCATGCCCAGCTATTTTAAAAATTTTTTGTAGTTATGGGGTCTCACTATGTTGCTCAGGGTGGTTTCAAACCCCAGAGCTTGGGTAATCCTCTCACCTCAGCTTCCCAAAGTGCTGGGATTACAAGTATGAGCCACCATGCCTGGCATATCTTTTTTCTTTTCTTTTTTTTTTTTTTTTTTTTTAAGACGTAGTCTTGCTCTGTCACCAGGCTGGAGTGCAGTGGTGTGAATGCAACCTCTGCCTCCCACGTTCAAGTGATTCTCCTGCCTTAGCCTCCCGAGTAGCTGAGCCTACAGGCTTTTGTCACCACACCCAGCTAATTTTTGTATTTTTAGTAGAGACAGGTTTTCACCATATTGGCCAGGATGGTCTGAATCTTTTGACCTGGTAATCAACCCACCTCAGCCCCCCAAGGTGCTGGGATTACACTGTGAGCCACCACACCCAGCCTATCTGTCGTTTAAATACATAAATTCCCTAGTGATTCTATGAATGGAATCATAGAATCCATTAATATAAAAACCTATCAATAAAAATGTTTGGTATAATTTTGTTATTGTTTTCTGATATCAAAATAGGGGCTATTCATGTTTTTGTGACCTTTGAAATGCCTTTTATAATCACTATAAAAAAAAGAGACTTACCATAGGCTGTGGAATTGATGCATAGTTTTGAACTCCTAGAACTTGACTCAGAAAACTCTGTGCACAATTTTTTCCAACCCAAAGCATCAGTACCTAAGGACAAGAATAAAATTATTTTGAGATGTACCATACATAAAGGTAAGTCTGTTGACTGAGTATATTTTATTTTTATTTTATATATATACTTGTGAGACAGGGTCTCACTCTGTCGTGCAGGCTGAAGTGCAGTGGTACAGTCTTGGTTCACTGCAACCTCTGCCTCCTGTGTTCAAACAATTTCCCACTTCAGCCTCCCGAGTAGCTGGGATTACAGGTGTGTGCCACCATGCTCAGATAATTTTTGTATTTCTAGTAGAGATGGGGTTTCACCATGTTGGCCAGGCTAGTCTTGAACTCCTCACCTCAAGTGATCCATCTGCCTTGGCCTCCCACAGTGCTGGGATTACAGGCATGAGCCACCATGCCCAGCCTGACTGAGTATATTTTAAAATATCAAAAAAGCTAAGTATATTTAGTGAGATTGTACAGCCTTTAATTGAATTAATAATAATTACTATTTACCATGATAAGACATTTTATGCTTGGCATGAAACAAGGAGGAAAGAAGGGGGAAGGTGACAAATATACTGTCATCAATCGCTGAACAATGGGGATATATGCTGAGAAATGTGTTGTTATGTGATTTAATTTTGTGAACATCATACTGTATTTACATAAGCCTCAATGGTAATAGCCTACTGCATACCTTGGCCATATGGTATAGCTTACTGCTCCTAGGCTACAAACCTCTAGAGCATGTTACTGTACTGAACACTGTAGGCAACTATAACACAATAGTAAGTGTGTATTTAAAAATAGGAAAAGTATAGTAAAAATATGGTAGAAGAGATAAACAGATATTTGTATAGGACACTTACTATGAATGGAGCCCATAAGACTGAAAGTTGCTCTGGGTGAGTCAGTGAGTGGTGAGTGAATATAAAGGCCTAGGACATTACCGCATACTGCTATAAACTTTATAAATACTGCATTTTTAGGCCATACTATATATATATATAAATTTCTTTCTTAAGGTTAATTTTCAGTAATTAACCTTAGCTTACTATAACTTTTATAAGCTTTTTAATTTTTTTCTTTTTTTTTTTTTTTTGAGACGAGTTTCACTCTTGTTGCCCAGGTTGGAGTGCAATGGTGTGACCTCAGCTCACTGCAACCTCTGCCTCCCGGATTCAAGTGATTCTCCTGCCTCAGCCTCCAGAGTAGCTGGGATTACAGGTGTGTGCTACCATGTCCGAATAATTCTGTATTTTTAGTAGAGACAGGTTTCACCATGTTGGTCAGGCTGGTCTCGAACTCTCAACCGCAGGTGAACCACTGGCCTCGGCCTCCCAAACTGCTGAGATTACAGGCATGAGCCACTGCACCCGGCCTCTTTTAATTTTTTTTTTTTTTAAAAGGGCCTTGTTCTGCTGCCCAGGCTGGAGTACAGTGGTATTATCTCGGCTCAGTGCAACCTCAACCTCCTGGGCTCAGGTGATCTTCCCACCTCAGCCTCCCAAGTAGCTGGTACTACAGGTGCACATCACTAGGCCTGGCTGATTTTTGTATTTTGAGTAGAGACGGGTTTCGCCATGTTGCCCAGGCTGTTCTTGAATTCCTAGGCTCAAGCAGTCCACTCTCCTTGCCCTCCCAAAATGTTAGGATTACAGGCATGAGCCACTGGGCCCAGCCAAAAACTTTTTTTTTTTTTTTTTTTTTGAGAATAGGTCTCATTCTGTTGCCCAGGCTCCAGTGCAGTGTCATGACCTCAGCTTACTGCAGCCTCAGCCTCCCCAGTTCAAGTGATTCTCTCACCTCAGCTTTCTGAGTAGCTGGGACTACAGGCGCGAGCCACCACGCCTGGCTAATATATGTATTTTGAATACAGACAGGGTTTCACCATGTTACCCAGGCTGGTCTCTAACTCCTGACCTCAAGCAATCCAACTGCCTTGGCCTCCCAAAGTGCTGGAATTACAGGCATGAGCCACCATGCCCAGCCAACTTCTTTTAATTTTTTGACTCTCTTGTAATAACACTTAGCTTAAAACACACATTGTACAGCTATACAAAAATATTCTTTCTTTATATCCTTATTCTGTAAACTTTTCCCTAATTTTAAAATTTTTTTATTTTTTACTTTTTAAATTTTTTGTTAAATACTGAAACACAAACGCACGTTAGCCTAGGCCTCCACAGCGTCAAGATCATCAATCTCACTGGCTTCCACCTCCCCATCTTGTCTCATTGGAAAATCTTCAGGGGCAATAACATGCACAAAGCTGTCATCTCCTCAGATTACAATATCTTCTTCTAGAATACTTCTAAAAGACCTGCCTGAGGCTGTTAACTTTTTTTTAAATTACGTAGGAGTACAGCTCTAAAACAATAATTTTAGAAATTGCATAGTAAATACTCTGTGATAGGAATTCTTCAGCTCCATCATAAATCTTATGGGATCACCATCATATAAGCGATGACTTACACATCATTAATCAGTGTATGACTCTACATAGGTTAACATATGAAATCTGTTCAGGAAGACAGATATTAAAGGAAATTAAACCAAATGCTAAATTAAAACAGTACAGTAGTTTGCAGTGAGGGTCAGGATAAGTCAAACTACTTACAGAGCCTGCATCCATGAGGAAAGCTCCATCTCTGCTCAGCTTCTCTACTGAAAGCTGAAGAATGGGGGGCTGAGGTATGGTTCTATCATTGATGTTGAGTGCTCCCTGAGGAATTAAGTAAATGAGTAAAGGTTTTAATTATAGGAAATAAGGAGTCACAATTAAACAACAAAAAATTCAATGAATGTTTCCTCTAAGAGTTTGGGCCTTGCTTAGGTAAATCACAATTATTCATATTTAAGCATAAAGAAGATGACGATAGTTACAGTTAGATTGTTATCACTTATCTAACCAAGCCATTGTGACTCCCAATAAAGCCAAATTAACTTCTGATCTTGTTTTATTTTTCTTTTGAGATGCAGTTTTGCTCTTGTTGGCCCAGATCTCGGCTCACTGCAACCTCCACCTCCCGGGTTCAAGGGATTCTCCTGCCTCAGTCTCCTGAGTAGCTAGGATTACAGGTATGTGCCATCATGCCTGGCTAATTTTTTGTATTTTTAGTAGAGAAGGGGTTTCACCATGTTGGCCAGGCTGGTCTTGAACTCCTGAATTCAGGTGATCCACCTGCCTTGGCGTCCTAAAGTGCTGGGATTACAGGCATGATCCACCATGCCTGGCCATTAACTTCCGATCCTAACCCTTGTTTTAAAAAAGAATGCAATAGGCTAGGCATGGTGGCTCACGCTTATAATCCCAGCACTTTGGGAGGCCAAGGCGACTGGATCTCTAGAATCCAGGAGGCAGAGGTTGCAGTGAGCTGAGATTGCGCCATTGCACTCTAGCCTGGGCAATGTGAGCAAAACTCCATCTCAAAAAAAGAAAAAAAAAAAGTTACCTCAAATTTCACAGGCAATTTTCCTTTATATTTGCAAGGTATCTTAAATTCTTTTTTTTTTTTTTTTTTTTGAGATGGAGTCTTCCTCTGTTGTCACTGAGGCTGGCTCGATCTTGGCTCAGTGCAACCTCCAACTCCTGGGTCCCAGTGATTCTCCTGCCTCAGCCTCCCAAGTAGCTGGGATTACAGGTGTGCATCACCATGCCTAGCTAATTTTTGTATTTTTAGTAGAGACGGGGTTTTGCCATGTTGGCCAGGCTGGTCTCTAACTCAGCCTCAGGTGATCCACCTGCCTCAGCCTCCCACAGTGCTGGGATTACAGGCATGAGCCACCTCGCCCATCCTGTATCTTAAATTGTTTACATTTTGAAAGGTTTTTAACCAGAACATTACTTCCAAAATATGTATCTTAACTTGATCACAGTTTTAGATGGATTTTGATTTAACATTTTCATTCTTTAATTCTGGTAAATTTCTACCAAAGGAAAACAATGTTGCAACTTAGATAAATATTTTTTCTTTAATTCAAGGACACTGTTAAATTGAACTGGGTGTTCAGATGTAACTTCACTCTCAGATCTAGATGTACTTTTGTTCCAGTCTGGAATGATTTCTATAACAAAAAACCCCTATTCTCCACAGAAAAGATATTTTAAGAATACACTGAAAACTTTTTTTTTTTTTTTAAATATACTTTAAGTTCTGGAATATATGTGCAGAACATGCAGGTTTGTTACATAGGTATACATGTGCCACGGTGGTTTGCTGCACCCATTCACCTGTCATCTGGGTTTTAAGCCCCGCATGCATTAGGTATTTGTGCTAATGCTCTCCCTCCGCTTGCCCCTCAACCCCTGACAGATGCCAGTGTATGTGATGTTCCCTTCTTTGGGTCCATGTGTTCTCACTGTTCAACTCCTGCTTGTGAGTGAGAACATTCAGTGTTTGGTTTTTTGTTCCTAAAATGTGGAACACTTCACAATGTGTATGTCATCCTTGCACAGGGACCATGCTAATCTTCTCTGTATTGTTCCAATTTTAGTATATGTGCTGCCAAAGCGAGCACAAATATACCCAGAACTTTTAAAATGTCAGTTGTTAAAAGATCAATTTGTTTGCATAAATAAATAAGTTGCTCTGGTCAATTTGACAGTCTTCCCATTTCTTAGAATCTGCTCTACAGATGGTATTTTAGGAGACTTACCAGCACTATTTTTAGGAGCTTCCCTATACTAAAATTTCTTTACTTAGTCTTAACAAAAAAAGCAAAAACAAAAGATAAAGCCTTAAATAATAAACAAACCCTTCCTCATTTCTGTACTTGACTATGATTAGGCTTACTAATCTTCAAATAAAAGCCACAAAAAAGCAATCCATCTTACCTCATCTGAGAGATTGTCAACTCTATACAAATTGGGATGAGTTGTGAGCATAAGGTAAACCAAGGGCTGATTTTTCACTTGACACATTGCAAAAATGCGTTCATCTAGACGTGCATTTGTCCCAGTCTGGAATGATTTCTGTAACAGAAAACCCCCATTCCCCACAAAAAAACTATATTTTAAAAATACATTGAGAACTTTTAAAATGCCAGTTGTTAAAAGAATATTATTTTTAAGTATCTTTTTTTAAGAAGTCACACACATCTATTAAAATGTAGGTACAGCCCCACCTAAAAATCTTGTGAAATTAACCAACTGACCATGGCAAAGTTATCTGATCTCCCTGTTGTCTGTTTCTTAGTTGATAAAATAGATCTTAACACTTTATCTACCATGTAATGATAGTGATGTAACAATCCAAGCAACACCATAGGAAGGATGAAGTTATACTGCAGATGACAAAGTAAAGGCATATATGAACGACCAAAAAGATATTTATTAAGTCAGTGGCCTTTTGGCACCAGGGACTGGTTTTGTGGAAGTCAATTTTTCCACAGACTAAGGCGGACATGGCAGAGGATGATTTTGGAATGAAACTGTTCCATCTGATATCATCAGGCATTAGATTCTCATAAGGAGTGTGCAACTCAGATTTCTCGAATGTGCAGTTCACAATGTGATTGGCGCCCCTATGAGAATCTAATGCTGCTGCTTATTTGCCAGGAGGCAGAGCTCAGGCAGTAAAATTCCCTCGCCCACCAGTCACCTCCTGTTGTGGGGCTCGGTTCCTAACAAGCCACCCACTGGTACTGGTCTGTGGCCCGGGGGTAGTGCAGTGAGAACCCGGCACTAAGAGTTCTATAAATGCTGGATGATGATTAATGGCAGCTGTCATTGACCCACCATATAAACAATATAACAAAGAATACTAATTAACAAGAAAAAATAATAGTACTACAAATGAGGACAGCTTCTTAGTAAAATTTGTTAATAAGTAAATATGATATTTAACTTATTATTTTCTTTACACAGATAAAAATGCAGAAGAATAAAGTTATGGGTAAGATTTTAAGTATTCCAATTGATGGAAAGGAGGTAGAGAGAAAAGAATAATGAAATTATGTATTAAAACAAGTACACTGACTATATATAAAGGAAGATTATAAAAGCTCTTAGGATTTTAATGTTAGAAGGAGAGTTCCATCTATTCATTTAAAATATATTTCCTGAGGGTCTATTATATACTAGGAACTGTTCTAACTGCTAGGACAAAAAAGTGAATGAAAAAAACAAAAATCCTTGTCCTCATGGAACTTACATCCTATTAAGGAAAGAATAAAAAATAAGCAAAAACATATGTGGTATGTCAATGATAAACGCCACAGGAAGAATACAGGAGGTAAGAGTGATTAAGGGTGTCAGAATGATGTGGGATGGGGTGAGATTAGAGTGTTGCATATTAAATGAGGAAGACTGGAGAATGTGGGCTTTAGAAAAAAGCATTTCAAGAAAGGCCTGAAGGAGAAAGAAGAGCTCAGATTTTTAAATGTTAAAATTTAAATACTTATGTAATCTGTGTACTTATATTCAGGAATTGAAATAGATAATTTGAATTAAAGAATTGAGAACTAGAGGCTGGGCGCAGTGGCTCAGGCCTGTAATCCCAGCCAAAGGGCGTGGATCACAACGTCAGGAGTTCCAGACCAGCCTGGCCAACACAGTGAAACCCCTGTCTCTACTAAAAATACAAAAAATTAGCCATTCGTGGTGGCGGGTATATCTAAAGAAGATTAAGGGCCAGGTGCGGTGGCTAAAGGCTGTAATCCCCACACTTTTGAGGCTGAGGCGGATGGATCACCTGAGGTTGGGTGTTCAAAACCAGCCTGACCAATATGGTGAAACCTGTCTCTAATGAAAATACAAAAATTAGCCGGGCTGTGGTGGTGCATGCCTATAATCCTGGCTACTTAGGAGGCTGAGTGGGGAGAATTGCCTGAACCCAGGAGGCAGAGGTTGCAATGAGCTGAAATCTTGTCACTGCACTCCAGCCTGGGCAATGGAGGGAGACCCTGTCTCAAAAAAGAAGATTAAGAAGTGTAATGTTAGGCCGGGTGCGGTGGCTCAAGCCTGTAATCCCAGCACTTTGGGAGGCCGAGGCGGGTGGATCACGAGGTCAAGAGATCGAGACCATCCTGGTCAACATGGTGAAACCCCGTCTCTACTAAAAATACAAAAAATTAGCTGGGCATGGTGGCGCGTGCCTATAATCCCAGCTACTCAGGAGGCTGGGGCAGGAGAATTGCCTGAACCCGGGAGGCGGAGGTTGCGGTGAGCCGAGATAGCGCCATTGCACTCCAGCCTAGGTAACAAGAGGGAAACTCCGTCTCCAAAAAAAAAAAAAAAA